ATTTGAAGGGAGGAACATGCATGCACAGCACAGTCCTCCTACAAGGGAGGTACTGCTAGCTTTGCCAACCATGTAGGAGCTGTTTGGCTACAGAAATGGTAACGACACTGTTAACGTAATCAGATTACAGCGTTTAAGGAGGTGTAATGGTTTTTTTTGTAAGTTTGTTTGGTTCACGTTTGGTAAAGGAATCGATTACCTTCGCTCTCTTGCTTCGCCCAGGATCTCTAGCATCGCCGGCCATCTCCGAAATCAAGCGCCGCCGGCCATCTCCGAAACCAAGCACCGCCGGCGGTCGTATCTTGTGCGCCACTGGCCGTCCCCGGGCATGTGCAGTGCCAACGGCCTCCGATCTCAAGCACCGCTGGCCCTTCCCGAACACCGCCGCGGGCCGCTCCAATCTCCGTAGGGATTCGAAGGGGATAGGGAAGGCACCGGCGCGGGCGCCGGACTCAAAGAGGATCATGGAGGCGGCGGCGGAGGAGCAGGAGGGGTTCATGCGGGAAGGAGGGGGTCATGGGCTCGGTACCGTAACCTTTACTGATGGGTTGTGGGCGGTATCGAGCAATAACTGGGCCGGACCCGTTAACGGCGGGATGTGTTTACGGAGTTGAGTTTCCAAACACAGGAGCTACCTTCCGTCCCTGTAAACATTGTGACGAATTAATAAAGCCTCGTGACGTTGCCTCAAAAAAAAAAGGTAGCGTTTTTCCTTTACGGTGTAAACAGGTCCGGGGCAAAAATCTCTGAACCAAACACCTCCGTAGTATGTTTTCACTTCACACATGGGTATGGGTATGGGCAGGTTGGGGGAGAAAGAAACATGCACCTTCATGCATGCAGAGATCTGAGTCGTAGCAGTCACTGGTCAGTGTTGTGTGCCTCCGTCTCGATCTCGATCGACTGGTGCATGCATGCATGGCATGTTGTGTGTCGGCCGGGCCAGCGCCGTCAGCGACGACCGGACCATGATGCTTTGCCATGCATGCCCCCGCCGGATTTTTTTCTTGAGATCACATCAGATCCAGATGCTGGCTGGCTTAATTGTAAATAGGTGCAGTCTAAAGTACGTAGTACTAGGTGTGTTTCACGTGTGGTGTTTTATTTATTTGCATTTGCAAGAAAGAAAGAGGATATGCATAGTCAGCATGACCTTTCCTCTTTTTTTTCCCTTCTTTTCCCCTTTTAACCGGTGTAGGTCATCCAAAGCTGGTAGCTGAAATATATATATGCTGCAAAACTTGGTTAGGGAAAATCATTTGTAATGCTACCTAGTAAGCACACAAGAATGATCTTAATTAGGGCAATTTCCGACTCATCCAGAGCGACGGCAAAGCTTCTTGCCACATGAACATCACTCCGGCCGGTTTGATGCCAAAGCATGTCCACATTCAATCGCAGAGCCAGCATGTCATGTTCGCCGGCATTGAGGTGTTTGCAAGCATTACAAAACGCGGTGACAACTATGACAAGTGTGTCGCTCGTAACTTGTACTATTAAAATTTCCATTGATATTTTAGTATTTAACAAGAAAAACTACCACATTTGGGATTTGTGTCCCCGCGAAACCACATGTTCCTTGATAGTGACCGAAAACTACCAAATTTAGTTTTTTTTGGGCAAAAAACTACCAAGTGAGTTCCATGCCCGTTTTAGACGATTTTAAACAAGGTTATGACAGCCGTGACCGGCATGTCAGGCCACAGAGAGAGAGAGAGAGAGAGAGAGGGGGGGGGGAGTCAGAGGACGAGAATGGGGCGAACTCTAGATCGATTTGGGTAGATAGGGGATAGGTAGAGAACAAATATCGCCAGCACGGTAGTCCGAAGAAAAAGAGGGTATGGAACAATGTATAGTTTTTTTGTTGGGTTATACAATGTGGGTTAAAAAACCCTCTTGGATTGTTGTTATGATTTCCTACGGAGTGTTTGAAAATGGCTCATCTCATATCCATGGCTGGTATAAAATGTAGCCCGGCTCAGATGTTGGTAGAGTAGTTGTTTGTCGAAGACTACCAAAGTTATAAAATAAAATAAAACACTCTCTAAGGTGGAATATACAAATACCCAGTACTTTTTACATGGAAGAAAAATGGAAAGACCACTTTGATTGTCGAAAATTCGAAGACCTGAATATGTTGTTCCCATTTCCTATTAGCAATATGCATGTAGCACTAAGACCTTACCAGTCCCCGATCCAATCCATATATTTAATCCTACATGTACGCTAAATCTTATTGTTTTTATTATTCGACTCAATGTAGTGTTCGAAAGGAGTGGCCATAAAGGTTTCCGCTACATGTGCATCTACAGACTAAATGGATGCGCAACTTTGGTTTTCATGGCAAAGGGTGACAACATCTAATCGTGTATCCAACATGCCATGTGTTCACCGACAAGGAGCACACACCACAAGTTCATAAGGCTGTAAAAACTATGTAAAGCAAGATGTGGCCTTGGATGAGCAATATTGTTGTGTTATTTCTATTGTTTCTCCATGAATATCAGAACATATGCATGTGCACATTTTATTGTGGCCCAATTAATTTAAGCGGGGGGTGTATAGTACCACACTATTAAAGAACAGTTGCACAAAATAGTGCAATTAAAAATATTTAAAAAGTATTAATAGATATTAGAAGAAATTGAAAGTTCTACAGTACCACAGTTATGTACAACCACACAAAAATACGATTACATCAAATGCAAACTAAAATATTTAAAAAGGTGAAAGTTCAACCAGAACAAAGAAAAGTGCAATTGCACAACAAGAGTGTTTTTTGAGGGGCAACAAGAGTGTTGTTGCAATGAACACAAACTAAAATAGTAAACAAATATAAATGAAAATGGAAAGCAGTAGAAACTTCACTTGTAGTGACCGAAATACCATTGAGCAAAAAAAAGTGAATGGAGCTTCACTTAAAGTGACCCTGACACCATTGGATACAAATTGGAGTGAAATACTATTGAGGAAATCTCGCGTCCGGAACTTTAAACATTTATGGATGTATGCATTTTGAAAATTCTGTATTTTAAATGACGTGTTTCAATTATATTTAAAAAGAGCTTAGTAATAATTTATTATATACTTTGTGTATGCGTCACTATAGGGCCAACAACACACGCAGAACGCTTCATGTTTAGTTGTAGAAAGGGAAAAAGTCAATATATATATATATGCCAGTATATATGAGTGAGGATTAGGGAAAATACACAAGAGCTCCTGATCGCTCCACCCCCATATGATGATATCAAATTTGGCTGCCCTATCCACCCTGTCTGAAGTTTCGCAAAAAATACCAGAAAATATATGCATGGGGAAGAAACTCAATCTAAACTACGATCCATCCAAACAGTTTCTTTGTATACATAGGAATTTGTTGTCTTTTTACCGAGAATACCACGAATGTAATTTTTTCATGAAACTTCACACGGGAGTATATTGCGCACCCAGGATTGATATGCCAAAATCCCAGGTTTATTTTGGATTTTCCAGTATATTTTTGAATTTATTGTTCATATTGGGGGGATAGGGGAATATTCAAAAGTCCTTACGATAGTAGAACAACTGCTGATCCAAACTTTGAAAAAGATATGATAGTATGTGTTACATTCGGCCAGACGAGAAGTATAGAAAAGAAAAGATCTTATTTTTTTCCCAAGGCATGAGAAGGCGAATATCCATTTCTTAGCCCAGCTCATCTGCACCCGTTCAAGAAAAAAAGTGAGAAAAAAGTACAAAAGAAAAATAACTTCAAAAAAGAAAAGAAAATAGCATGATAGATAACTGGTGCGTGAGACGCGCTCCAAATTTCAGATCATTTGGACATATGAGTAGGTCTCAGCGAAAAGACAAATTGGGGAGCCCTAAATTTGTCTTTTTTTGCTGAGAGATACTCATATGTCAAATGATGTGAAATTTGGAGGGCACCTGATGAGCTATTGGAGTAGTATAGTATTGTGTAGATGGAAGAAAATGGCTATGTCTTTCTATCTTTTTCGTTTCTTTTCTTGGTAGGTCAGCTGGAGGAAAATGTGAAGACCTGTGCGCTCCTGTTGCAAAACCAAAGGAAACCAAACCAAACCAGCAGCAGCTGCTTCCCTTCCCTTCCCTTCTTTGGGTTTTCCGGCCGGCGGCTCCCCTCCCCCACCTCCTCCTCACCTTGCACTCTGCCTCCCTGCTTCCTACTCTACTCCACTGTAGGTCGGTCTGTAGCCCACCAACCCCGCGTTGCCCCCATCCATCCATCCATCCACCCCCACCGGACCGGTGGGAAGGGGAGGGGAAATCGGCGGGAGGAGGAGATGAGAATCTCCTTTTCTCTTCCCTTCTTCTTCTTCTTCTTCTTGCTCTTTGGATCCACCGCCCGCTAATGCCGCCTAGCCGCCCCGATTCGACCCATCACCACCGCGCACCAAGGCGGTAGCTCGTGCCACAGAGGCCGGAGATTCGCCTGGCCTCCTCCTCCTCCTCCTCCTCCTCCTCCTCCGCTCAAGGGATGTAATTTGTGGCTGGACGGACGGACGCCGCAGCACGCAGGTCAGACCTATTTCTTACTAGGACACTAGTATAAGTTGGTAGATTTTATTTACTCGGATTTCGGTCAGAGGATTCTCTTCTTTCATCCCCTCTTCTCTTCTTTACTAGGACACTCGAAAGAAAGAAAGAAAGAAAGAAAGACATCAATTTTGGTCAGAGGATTCTCTTGTTGCTTTTCTGTTTCTTACTTACTTATTATTGGAACTTTGGGAGGGAAAAAGAAAGAAAGATTTGCGATTGATTGATTCATACTAACTGCTTGAGCATTTGATGCAGAGGCAAACCCCAATTCATTCATGCCTTCCTTCCTTCCTTGAGCCAGTCAGTAAGTCAGTCAGTCAGTCAGCAGGAATCAACCAATTGATTTGATTTGATTTGATTTGATACCACAAGAGTCAGTCAGTTGCTGCACAAAATCAAAATTCCACAGTCTGAATCTGAATGAATGAACCCTGGTATGTATGGTAGAGCCCATGGCAGCAAGAGCAATGCGGCCCTTCCCATGCTGCCTCATCTCACTGCTGCTGCTGCTGCTGCTGCTGCTGCCGCCGCTGCCGCTGTCGCGAGCTGCCACCGGCGATTTCAGCCACTGCGGTGGCTGCGACGACGCCGACGAGGGCAGCCTCTGGAGCACGGACAACATCCTGCAGTGCCAGAAAGTCAGCGACTTCCTCATCGCCACCGCCTACTTCTCCATCCCGCTCGAGCTGCTCTACTTCACCACCTGCTCCGACCTCTTCCCCCTCAAGTGGATCGTCCTGCAGTTCGGCGCCTTCATCGTCCTCTGCGGCCTCACCCACCTCATCAACGTCTTCACCTACGAGCCCCACTCCTTCCACCTCGTCCTCGCCCTCACCGTCGCCAAGTTCCTCACCGCCCTCGTCTCCTTCGCCACCGCCATCACGCTGCTCACCCTCATACCGCAGCTGCTCAGGGTCAAGGTCAGGGAGAACTTCCTCAGGATCAAGGCAAGGGAGCTGGACCAGGAGGTGGGCAAGATGAAGAGGCAGGAGGAGGCCAGCTGGCACGTGCGTATGCTCACCCAGGAGATCCGCAAGTCCCTCGACAGGCACACTATCCTCTACATAACCATGGTCGAGCTCTCCAAGACCCTGCACCTGCAGAACTGCGCCGTCTGGATGCCCAACGAGGCCAGGACCCACATGATCCTCACGCATCATCTCAGAGAAAGGGAGATAACTGAGTCGCACAGCGGCTCCATTCCTATCTCTGACCCGGACGTGGTTGAAATAAAGGCGACGAGGGGCGCCAAGGTCCTCGGGGAAGGGTCGGCGCTAGGGACTGCCAGCAGGTGCAATCCTGAGGCAGGGGCTGCGGTCGCTGCGATACGGATGCCGATGCTAAGGGTGTCCAATTTCAAAGGAGGCACCCCGGAAATGATGGAAACGAGCTATGCTATTCTGGTCTTGGTCTTACCCGAGGACGGTTCCCTAGGGTGGGGTGAGCAGGAGCTGGAGATTGTCGAAGTGATCGCCGATCAAGTGGCGGTCGCGCTCTCGCATGCTGCTGTTCTTGAGGAGTCGCAGCTGATGCGAGAGAAGCTTGCTCAGCAGCACAGGGACTTGCTTCAGGCAAAGCATGAGGCTGTGATGGCAACTGAAGCCAGGAATTCCTTTCAGAGTGCCATGTATGACGGGATGCGCAGACCGATGCACTCGGTCCTTGGTCTCGTCTCGATGATGCAGCAGGAAAGCATGAATCCAGAGCAAAGGCTCGTGATGGACGCCATCGTCAAGACAACCAGTGTTGCCTCGACGTTGATGAATGATGTCATGCAAACATCGACGATGGACCGTGAGCACTTATCTCTGGTGAGGAGGCCCTTCAGCCTCCACTCCTTGATTAAGGAAGCGGTCAGCGTTGTAAGGTGTCTGTGTGGCTCCAAGGGGGTTGATTTCGAGTTTCAAGTGGAGAATTCTTTGCCCGAAAGGGTCGTTGGCGACGAGAAGAGGGTTTTCCATATTGTCTTGCACATGGTAGGCACTCTGATAAATCAATGCCGTGCGGGCTGCCTCTCTTTGTATGTGAATAGTTACAACGAGATGGATGAGAGGCATAATAATCAGGACTGGATGCTGCTGCGAAGAGCAAACTTTTCTGCCGGATATGTGTGTGTCAAGTTTGAGATTAGGATTAAAAAATCCAGAAACAGCCTTTTGGATGCGTCTGCCAGCCAAATAAGTCAAGAGCCGAACGCTAGCAGTTCGGAGATGGGCCTTAGCTTCAACATGTGCAAGAAGATTGTGCAGGTATTAATCATTCCTTGTCATATTATTCATGGCTCTTGCTTCTGTCATATTATTTATAGAAGAAGTGTATTGGACTCCATGCTTATTGAAGATTATATTGGCAGATAACTAACTAGTTGTTGATCCTCATCTGTCTCGACAGTTTTTCAGTTTTTCATACAGTAACTAAACATTCAGGCTAGCATGTAGTTACAATTATTTGTTTGAAAGACATGTAGTTACAGTTATGAAACTGCCAAATTACACTGCATTTTCCTGCCAGCATACTTTGTGCGGAATGCTGTGAAATCTTCAGCACTTGACTGTGGTTCAAACTGGGCGAAGTAAGATTTTATTTATTTTTGGCCACTTTTGTTACAGTGGTGCTGTAATAAAAAATGAATCATTTATGCTGCTTGTTCATGCTGTTGAAACTATTAGTGAACATGATGTGATTGGCTGTAAAGAATTCCGGTGCTTGTTTTCGGTAACTATCTTTTTCTTTGTGCTCATCAGTTCATTCCTCAGAAAATATCTTACTGTGGCACTTAGGCGTTCAATCTTATTCTGTCGTTTGCTTGATGTGTAATCTATATATTTTATTATTAGCTGACTTGAGGCTTTATGTTGTGTTGCAGATGATGAATGGTAATATCTGGTCCGTATCAGACCCAGAAGGGTTGAGAGAGACGGTCATGCTGGCTCTCCAGTTCCAGATGCAACATGTGACCCCTGTCTCAGGAGCATCCTCGGACCTATACCGGTTATCACCGATCCCCAACTTCAACGGGCTCCATGTCCTCCTGGTGGACGGTGATGACACCAACCGAGCAGTCACCCACAAGCTCCTGGAAAAGCTTGGGTGCCGAGTCTTTTCGGTCAGCTCGGGCATCCAGTGCATGACCTCCTTTGCGGGCGGCGAGTCGTCCTTCCAGCTGGTGCTTCTGGACCTGACGATGCACACGATGGACGGGTTCGAGGTGGCCCTCGCGATCCGCAAGTTCAGGAGCAACAGCTGGCCGCCACTGATCGTGGCCCTCGCGGCGAGCTCGGACGACAACGTCCGGGACCGGTGCCAGCGGTCAGGGATAAACGGTCTGCTCCAGAAGCCCGTCACGTTGGCGGCCCTGGGGGATGAAGTGTATAGAGTCCTTCAGCACAACTGAAAGTTGTCGTCTCTGTGGATCTTGATAGATTGTTGTAGCTTGATGAGTAGTTGATTCCGTTTTGATCGATTATTATGCCAGGTTAGGTCCCATACAGATGGCAAGAAGCATTTGTGCAAAAACAAAAAAAAGTAAGGAATTAATTGTACAGGAAGGAAGGAAGGAAGATGTAAGCCTGCCTTTTTTCGCTTTGGTGAAGAAAGGTGGGGAATTTTGGAGAGATGAAAAAAGCTACCCACTTAGGTTCTCTTTTTAGGGCTATTCATTTGTAAAGCCTCTTATCTTGGATTATTAATGATTTATTTGTGAGGCAACTCATTTGGGGGCAACCAGGTCAGGTCAGGTCAGGTCATTAACTAGCTAGCAGAGCAGACAAGATGCTTCTAATCTGGTCTGGTCCAGTGAATTGGGGTTTTTGATTTGGTTTGGTGGCTGCACTTGTGAATTCAGTGAATGCAGAAAGTAGTGTTGATACTGACTTGTTATCTTGTTGAAAGAAACTAGTACAAAATCATAATCAGGCAGACTGACTGACTAGGAGTATTTGATGCCGACCTTTTTTCTTTTAAATAAGTTTCAATCTTGTAGAAAGAAAGATAAAAGACCTACTAGTAGTAGTACAAAGGAATATATATATCTCTGCTTTGAATGAGTGTTAGGAGGTGTAGAAATTTTGCAGCTGAGGTTCCATCATATGGTAGTAGGATCCAAGGCAACCTTGGCTGATTGATTATGCTTGCTACAATAATTTTGTTTTCTTTTTTTGGTGGGACAACAATATGCAAGGAGACACTTGGCAAAGGGCAACCAAGTAAAAAAAACCTCTTCTGCCTCTCCTCCTCCCCCATCCCTGCCACCGGCGCCCTCCCCTCCCCCCTCGGCGCCCCCATCTCCTCCCAATGGCCGGACGCGGTGGCCGAAGGTCCCTGTTGTCTGATCGGTCGAATCCTCCTCAAGCCGTCACAACGATGCCACCTCTCCCGTCCCCCCTCCCCGGCTTCCTCGACCTCCCTAGTCGTGGCAACCGCAGAGGGGAAGTACCACGGCGTCTGGCAGCAGGGGTGGGGGACTTGGGTGGCGGACTCACCCACGCCATTGGCTCGGGTCCTCCCACACAGCCGAACTCGATGCGCTCAAGGGGGAGCGATGACAAGGACATTTTCAAAAAAAAAAATGGATGAACATTGAGTGAGGCGTTTTGGCTCTCCGGCTCATCTGCACCCGCGTTGAATAAAAAAATCAAAATAAATACTAGAAAAATTCAAAAATTCAATTTTTTTTTGACATGGTAGATAATTTGGTGCATGATGTCCGCTCCAAATTTCAAATCATTTGGACATATGAGTAGCTCTTGGCAAAAAAGAACAAATTTGTGGTCCGTTAAAAAGCGTATTGTTAAAAAGCGTACTGTTCTAAACCAATCTATCTTTTTTGCTAAGAGCTGCTCAAATGTCCAAAAGCTCTGAAAATTGGAGCGCACCTCACGCACCAATTTATCTTAGCACAAAATTTTGGATTTTTTCTAATTTTTTATGAATTGTTTCTTGACCGGGAGCAAGCTCGGGCTCAGAATTGGATATTCAATGAACATTTTGCTAACTTGATGATAATTTTTGAATATGCGAAACATTTTTTGAAACAAAATTTCAATTCAATGAACATTATTTGAAGAAAATCGATGAACACTTTTTTATATAGGAATAGGCACAGTGATGGACATATGACTAATGTTGCTGATATATCAAAAAAAAAAATCTTTTTGTTTGGCTTTGACCGAGTGCATCTTAGATATGCAGAGCCTGTGTGTTGCTTATTTAATATGTTTGATGCTACATCTTGAGTCAATAAAAGAAAAGCGCCCTTTATATGTCGGGGAAAGCTAACACATTCTTTGTGACTTGATTACCAATTTCTTTGGAGAATTTGTAATTTAAAAGGGGAACGACAAGTGCAAAGTCTAAACATTCACAAGTATGGAGAAGTAACTTTTAAAAAAAAAGACAAATATCTATCTTAGGGGAAACGACTTGGTAGGAAAGAATTATCCGGCAAACATCGACATTTTCAGTAAATGAGAATTAAAACATCTTGTTGTTGGGTTGGTATCCCTCAAGAATGGTGTTGCATGTGTTCATGGCGCGCGCATCCAGCAGGCTGTGGTTCCACAGCTTAATCATCACCAAACGCCAGCACCTGAGGGTTGTTTCATTTCATTCATTCATTCATTCAATCAGGCGCAGCAAGCAAATCAGTCAAGCCGGTCCATGAAGGAGGGACTCACCAGAGCAGAGGAGGGTTTTGTACAAGCTGCGGTCCATGAAGCCGGGAGAAGCCCTCACAGGCCCAAGGTATATGCCCATCAGCTAGCACCCTGTGAATGAATTATCATACTCTTTCAGCAAGACACGAGGCATGTAGGGTTCAGCGAGTACCGTCCGTAAAACACTTGATTTTGCACGCATACCTTTGTTTCCGAATAAATGAATTCCACATATGCATAATAAGCTTCTCATCTTTCGTGACATCAAGAAAATCAGCAAGCATCTGCAACCAAGGAAAAAAAAACAAGTAATAACTTAAGATATGTTTCTAGCAGTATGTTTCTCAACCGTAATTAACGAGAGACAAATATCTGCTGACCCGTCTATCTTCCAAGTCGGCAATGTCATCGTCAACTTCATCCTCGCTGTCATGATCTGACAAAACTTGTTCCACTGCCATTGGCTACAACAATCAAGCTACACATGTCAAATGCAGAAACAAGAGTAAATGAAATTCAGACATCATGCTAGACTAGATATCAAATATTATAGAAACAAGAGTAAATGAAATTCAGACGTCATGCTAGACTAGATATCAAATGAAATGCAGGCATAAAAACCCTAAGTAATATCAAAAAATCCAATAAAACAAAGCTTTAGTAGGGGTGTAAATGATGAGCAAGAAAATTATAGAACAAGAAAGCTGGCAACAGGCAGATTCTTTTTTTTTTATATGCATGCAAACAAAACAGCCTTTCTTACAGTGAAGCCTTGGCATCAAATTGGCTGGCACAAGTGAAACCTTGGCAGAAAACTTATTTGATTTGCCACCTGCTAGTTGTAACTGAACACAAATAATTCAGACATCATGCTAGCAAAACTGGCATAGTCTGGTATTTATATAAAACACCAGATCATCATATTTTAACTCAAGAGAAGCTGACAGTGAAGACAAGAGTACTACTTCTCACCAAGCTCCAACGAGTCGCAGGTCAAAGCCTAGAAAATTTTAGACCTCTCATCTACTAGAAATCAGCATCAAATTCAAATTCAGATATTTTTATATTCACATTCTGTTTTTTGGATGCCCGGTGCTCTTGTTAGTTCCATACATGACATAAGGATGAACAAAATTTATTTCCCACTCACACACCTGTGCCCTGTGAGAATGGAAGAACTGACGTTTCTGCAGAAGTTGTCGGCTGCCACATAATATACACATAAAAACAGTTGGTTTCTATTGTAAATGTCTGGACAAACAAACAGCTATATATACAATGCTTAGCATGATATCAGCGAAGTATGTAAACAGAAGGGCTACTTTCTGGGATCACTTCGCTCCGCAGATAGTTTCCTTGTCTTCCCAAACTCTAGTACTGTCGGTGGTGTAAGATTGCTACCATTTAATGAGTGATCATGCTCGGCAGAATCGGGTGCTACTGAATTATTATCTGCAAATTTTAGACATCAGAAATCAGCATTTGCAGGCATGATCTGTGTCTTAGGAAACAACTTATGTGGTTTGTAGCATTCATTCAGGTAGTATAATCAAAGAACAGTTGCAATAATCTCTACCTATGGCAAGGGTCTAAATGCTATATTCAAAACAGCATGCAGGACTTCTCAGAGATGAAATTCCATGTGCAAACAAACAACTGGCTCATTCTTAATTCCAGTTTCACTGAAAATTTGACTGCTTTTGTCCACCTGTGGGATCAGTCTAGGAACAATTTTTTGATTGGTTTCATCAGGAATGGAAATTTGAAACACTGTATTTATTATATAATATAAGATAGTAGGCGAAGACACAATCAGAAACATCACTGTACAATTCGAAACACTGCATTATGGTGTTACCATTTGAATGTAGTTTATGCCACAGTAAGATACCATAAGATGACTCCCAAAAAAGAAAAAGAAAAAGATGAGAATGTACCATCTTCCCTCTGAACAAACTCGTCTTTAGACGACCCTGCCTGGGCATCTTCAGGTGAACCTGAATCCATGATATGTGGATGTACGGGGCTTATATTCTCAACTGTGGCTAGCGACCTTCGACGACGCATCTTAAGCCTTGAGCTGATGCAACACAGTTAGTAAAATCAAACAGAAATAAGATGAGCTGATCCATCATGAAAATTGATTGAGAAAGAGCGTACCAGTAGGAAAATGTTTGATGTCTTGGATCAACTCCCTTGCCCACAAGCTGGGAAATAAATGGGATTATTAGTTCGAGGCACTAATAACAGAATGTTTCAATGGAAAACAATATGCAATGCAGATTCTGCAAGTATCCTTCAGAACACTCAGCTCATTTATTATCAGGTAATTCTGGAAATTCTGTATCACTGTTTTACCTCCATTTTCCAGGCATCAGCCTTCAGACTAACATTAACAGCCTGGCATTCTTCAGATATCTGCATGAATGTAAAGAGCAAACCAACAATCAAATTATGACATCGATCAAATAAGATTTACAATAGAAATTCCAGAAGTTTACCAACCCAAAACTCAAAGTGGAATAGGTCATGCGTTGAGTTCAAGTGACACCCCAGGCCCTAGTATCGCCAGAATCACAACATTAGAGATGTGCCTCAGAGAAAGTGTGCACAACATTGTTCCCATAAAAAATAAGAAAGGTCGAGCAGAAAAAGAACACAATCTAAGTTTCCTCACAAAGAACAAGAAGACATCAATGGTGCAGCGTGAACTAGACAGATTCCGTTTTACCCTAAATGTAGCAGCTGACATGATTCACCGGCCCTTAGCAGCAATAAGCAACATTTCGAATGGAAATTTGCTTCAAACTTTACCTTGTAGCTTCCACACTTTACCAAGCAAAAGGCGCAAGCAAAATCTTCGGTGACTGGTAAGAAGGGATCGACAATATTAAGAATCACGAGCCAAACAGAAAATATATGACTTGACCAACAAATGTCACTCAGTGATGCAAAACTGAACGTAGTTAATTGCAAACACCAGATTTTTGCCATGATAAGCATTCAAAACAATGTACACTGTATAATAAACACAGGAGTAGCCAACTGACTCAGCAACATGTCCTAGGATCATATGCAAAATCATGTCCTAGGTACTTCCTTTTGTGTTGTGTCGATACACTAATATTTGTATAATACATATCTCACCATGACTAATTGGACAAAGTAATAATTTTACCACCATAAAACATCATAAGCTTACATTTCAATAACATGTGTACCATCGAAAGGTCGTAGCAGAAGATATTTTACTAGTTTAGTTGCAGATATACTGATATTATTAACCTAGCATATCTAGTTAATTACGCTCCGCAAATCAGGTACAGGGAGAAAATGTAGAACACCTAGGGAAGGAAAATGCCAGTATATGATGCAAGCAAATGCCAATGGATTTGAAAACCGCATGAGCCCAAATGTTGGAGTAAGCAAGAACCTTCAGTCTTTTGCATAGTATTGTTGTAGTACTTGAAGTTGAAAATCACATTACCAGCTCTTAACCTGCGGAAAATATACATTTCCATTTGTTCACTTGGTTATACCAAAATGCAAATGTGTTTGTAAAGCTGAAAGTTAGAGCAAAGTGTCATAATAAGACCTGACCAAACACTAGGTCGGGACAGGCTGACTTCAGCCTCACCACAATACTGGAGTAGTACTTCTTTAAGACATAAACAATGTCACTTGGAACAATCATCAGTGATTTAACTTTTTTAATTACATGAGATGGAGGCATAAGTAAGCTGGGGTCTCTCTTTTGAACAATCAAGGCTCTGCCAAAGAGATGTTTCCAATTGAACCATAGATAGTGATTATGCATTTTGCACTTTTTCTCCAAAATTAACAAGTAATTTGTCTAATTACTTTCATCAATTATATTTCAGGAGAAAAACACTAAGCTTAATGATCTGAAATTACTTTTGAATTTTGATGGCAAGATCTAAAAATATCATCTCAACATGACACAAACCCAAATATTGTGTATACTAGCAGCCAAATTTAAAAGATCAACTCCATGCATTCTAAACCAACACCAAACCCAAATATTGTGTTACCTTATAATATGACGTAATGATGAAGGTGGGACATCACTGTATGAGTAACTATTATACGGAGATTCAGACATGTCTCTTGCACCAGCCTCTTGAACGGATATGCCAACTTGGAGTTGATATGAACCCTGAAACAATAACAGCAATCTTAGACAAGCTGCGCAAGTAACTGGCAGAAGGTCTACAATATAATCCGTTGCCCTTAAATATGGAAATGATAATTAGATCAATAAATAAAGGAACAGAGTTACCCTTACCGTAGCATTAATCTTATGAGAGCAAAATGTCAAGCAACTGTCCTGCTCCAGAAATTTTGGCTGGATGTACAAAAATAATCAAGGCAAGTAGGTCAACATACAGCGGAAGCAATTAACGGCCACTACGCCCCAAAAACTCTCTCTTCATTTTTCAGTTTCTAATAAAGTAAACAAAAATGATTGTGAAATCTGAGGCACAACCGAAACAAAAACAGATTTGCATAATCACTTAAACTTCCATACACTACAGAATACAACTTTTAGTGTTAACATGGATCTTATAACATGTTGTGTTACAAAGATGCAAACTGCACTACTGATTTCACAATTTGCACCTGCACTTCTGGAACATGATTTGCTAATTAACGACAGGCACCGCAGCCTTATAGGACAACTAAAGTTACATGCTAGTACATAGGGTAAATTTTCCAAATACAGGTGGCTAACGTAATTTATTCAGTCTGAAACATGAGGATGCAAAGGATTGTCATCCATCTTATGGTTAAATTGTACTACTAGAAAAGTCGAAGTATATACATTAAGAAAACTGAAGCTTAATAATATGGAAAAGTTCAACCTAAGTACCTCTAAGAAGCTTGGGTTCATAGTAACTGTAGAAGCCAACTCCACAGTATGTCCCAAATTTAAAGTCACGCAATTCTCCAACGACGAACCAAGTAAATTAATTGGTATTTTACCCCAGAAACATTTCCCTTCAAACTCTGTCAAAATGCATCGCGTAAATGATAGTAAGTAGTTGCACTCAATAACCCCACAAATCATAGCTGGTTTCTGATATTCAATTTTTAAAAGGCACATATGTTGAGCTATACTGGCTACTAGACATGGTAATGTGATACCAACTTACTTCGGAGAGCAGATGCTTCCACATGGTCCCCAGAGCAGTTATTTTCTCCAACCTGCCCTTCTGAATCTGAAACTAAAAAAAAAGGAACCAGATGTGACGGTAGTGAGGAGACGTGAACCGTGCACGATCACATATGATGCACATCATACCACAGCGGATAAGGATAATGCTGAGGTTGCAAGCTCGGGAGGTTGCTGCTATATTCTTGACGTCTGGAATTGTGAATGTGGCTTTGTTGTGGTCTTTACTAGCAAATTCAGTGAATGACGTAAGCAAACAGGCACGACTGAATCGATATATCGGAGAATGCTGCAAAAGATGATGGCATTGTTTAATGAGATCATTAATTAATTTGGTACAAGAATGTTTGCAAATTCACCATGCATTATGCTGCAAAAAAAAATAGTGAGTGGAACTGAAAAAGGGGAACACTTACTTACCCCTTCAAGTGGGATGCTATCACTAGTAGGTGTAGCTAACAAAACATAAAGGGGGAAGATGTTGTGGTCAGTATTTGTGCCTCGAGAAAGGGATACAGTTAGTTGAATCCTACACCCACAAGCACAAACACAAACACACACTGGTCAGCATTCGCATGATGCAACAGACAAGATTCAGTTAAAGGGGTCAGAAAACTAGATACTATAAAACAGTGAAGCCTCTGCTCTGCTATCTATCTATCCATGTCAAGAAAAGAAAATAGTTTCAGAAACATAAATATGGGACCTGAATGAATGAGAGCTACCTCTTTTTGCGGTTTGCCTGTATCATGTAATGGAGGCATCTTTGCAGAAAAGCGGGCTGCAAAAGAAAGCCATTGTATTGTTGTAGTTGTTGTTGGTTGTGTGAAATGAAATGAAAACAGCTATACAGGATTTAGGGAGGGAGGGAGGTTACATATATAGTACAATACATTATCAAGGGCTCGTTTTTGGATAACATTGCAGAGCTCAACTGGCTTGCAGTACAACTTGAAGGTTTCTTCAGCAGCAAGCTGCTCATCTGGAGACAGCTCAAGTGTCGACGGTTGACGGCACATGTGGTCTGGTCCTGCCCTGCCCTGCATATTATATTATATGTATAAGTAAGTCAAACAAAAGAGGAATCTAGATACATTTTTTATTGCCATGGATAGATAGATAGATAATTAGAGACATGGTTGTGTATCTGTTGTGCTGCTATCAGAGAAGAGAAGAGAAGAGAAGAGAAGAGAACCTTAGCTAATGATAAACAGGCAGCGTGAAAAGAGGGAGACATTTTGCTGAATGAATTCCACCGTGGCGACCGACCATTCATTCTTGTTTTCTTTTATTTTATTTTCTTTTCTTTTCTTGGAATTATTTATATTTATATCCTGCCCTTGATACATACATACATACATACATACATACATACATACATACATACATATACATACGTAGGAGTAGATACATACATACATACATAACCAGGAAAGGAGTAGAGCTAACTAGTACTAGTATATTAGCAGCTAAGGAGTAGAGTAGAGTAGATCTAATCTAACCTAATAACCAGGAAAGAAAGAAAGAAAGAGGCGGAGGGAGAATCGTATCTAACCTAATCAATCCCGCTTGGGGACAGCTAAGGTTCGCTTTGGGTTGGATCAATCAAGAAGAAACATACATACCTAAGGATAAGGATAAGGATAAGGATGCCCCGCGCGCGCGATGAACGGATAAGGCCGGCGGCGGCAGGGCGTCGGCGGCGGAGGACCGCCGGATCTAGGCCCCGCCCAAGCCCAAGCCCAAGCCCAAGCCCAAGCCAGCGGCAGCAGCAGCACGACGAGAGAGGAGGAGAGGAGACACAGGAAGGAAGGGAAGGAAGGAAGGAGGAGGAGGAGGGGAGGAAGAACAAGAAGAGAACGCGACGAGTGAGTGGTGTTTTGTTTGTTTTTTTATTCCAAAACAAAATCCAAAGACTAAAATTCAAGCAACAGCAACAGCAGCAGCAACAACAACAACAATAAAGCCTTTAGTCCCAAACAAGTTGGATAGGCTAGAGATGAAACTCATAAAATCTCGCAACCAACTCATGGCTTTGGCACATGGATAGCAAGCTTCCACGCACCCTTGTCCATAGCTAGCTCTTTGGTGATACTCCAATCCTTCAGGTCTCTCTTAACGGTCTCCTCTCGTGTCAAATTCGGTCTACCCCGCCCTCTCTTGACATTCTCCGCATACTTTAGCCGTCCGCTATGCATTGAAGCTTCTGGAGGCATGCGTTGAATATGCCCAAACCATCTCAGACGATGTTGAACAAACTTCTCTTCAATCGGTGCTACCCCAACTCTATCTTGTATATTATCATTCTGGACTCGGTCCTTCCTCGTGTGGCCACACATCCATCTCAACATACGCATCTCCGCCATACCTAACTGTTGAACATGTCGCCTTTTAGTCGGCCAACACTCGGCGCCATACAACATTGCGGGTCGAACCGCCGTCCTGTAGAACTTGCCTTTTAGCTTTTGTGGCACTCTCTTGTCACAGAGAATGCCAGAAGCTTGGCGCCACTTCATCCATCCGGCTTTGATTCGATGGTCCACATCTTCATCAATACCCCCATCCTCCTGCAGCATTGACCCCAAATACCGAAAGGTGTCCTTCTGGGGTACCACCTCGCCATCAAGGCTAACCTCCTCTTCCTCACACCTAGTAGTACTGAAACCGCACATCATGTACTCGGTTTTAGTTCTACTAAGCCTAAACTCTTTCGATTCCAAGGTTTGTCTCCATAACTCTAACTTCCTATTTACCCCTGTTCGACTATCGTCAACTAGCACCACATCATCCGTAAAGAGTATACACCATGGGATATCTCCTTGTATATCCCTTGTGACCTCATCCATCACCAATGCAAAAAGATAAGGGCTCAGAGCTGACCCCTGATGCAGTCCTATCTTAATCGGGAAGTCATCAATGTCGACATCACTTGTTCAAACACTTGTCACAACATTATCGTACATGTCCTTAATGAGGGTAATGTACTTTGCTGAGACTTTGTGTTTCTCCAAGGCCCACCACATGACATTCCGTGGTATCTTATCATAGGCCTTCCCCAAGTCAATGAACACCATATGCAAGTCCTTCTTTTGCTCCCTATATCTCTTCATAAGTTGTCGTACCAAGAAAATGGCTTCCATGGTCGACCTCCCAGGCATGAAACCAAACTGATTTTTGGTCACGCTTGTCATTCTTCTTAAGCGGTGCTCAATGACTCTCTCCCATAGCTTCATTGTATGGCTCATCAGCTTAGTTCCACGGTAATTAGTAAAACTCTGAACATCCCCCTTGTTCTTGAAGATTGGTACTAATATACTCCGTCTCCATTCTTCTGGCATCTTGTTTGGTTAGTCCTATTATCGCTATGTCCCCGAGACCTTTCCACACCTCAATGGGGATACAATCAGGGCCTATCGCCTTGCCTCCTTTCATCCTTTTCAAAGCCTCCTTAACCTCAGACTCCTGGATTCGCCGCACAAAACGCATGCTGGTCTCATCAAAGGAATCGTCCAGTTCAATGGTAGACCTCTCATTCTCCCCATTGAACAGCTTGTCGAAGTACTCCCGCCATCTATGTTTAATCTCCTCATCCCTCGCCAAGAGTTGGCCTGCTTCGTCCTTGATGCATTTGACTTGGCAATATCCCTCGTCTTCCTCTCTCGGATCTTGGCCATCTTATAGATGTCCCCTTCGCCTTCCTTCGTGCCTAACCGTTGGTAGAGGTCCTCATATGCCCGACCCCTTGCTTCACCAACAGCTCGCTTTGCAGCCTTCTTCGCCATCTTGTACTTCTCTATGTTGTCTGCACTCCTATCCAGGTATAGGCGTCTGAAGCAATATTTCTTCTCTTTAATCGCCTTCTGGACATCATTATTCCACCACCAGGTATCCTTATCTTCACTTCTCCTTCCCCTGGACACTCCAAACTCCTCCGAGGCCACCTTACGAATGCAAGCCGCCATCTTCATCCACACATTGTCCGCATCCCCACCTTCCTCCCAAGGGCCCTCCTTAATGATCCCCTCCTTGAACGCCTGAGCTACCTCCCCCTTGAGCTTCCACCACTTCGTTCTAGCGACTTTGGCACGCTTATCCCGTTGGACACGAATCCGAAAGCAGAAGTCAGCAACCACCAGCTTATGCTGGGGTACAACACTCTCTCCAGGTATCACCTTACAGTCTAGGCACGCACGCCTATCTTCTCTTCTTGAGAGGATGAAATCAATCTGGCTAGAGTGTTGGCCACTACTAAAAGTCACCAGATGTGATTCTCTCTTTCTAAAGAAGGTGTTAGCTACAATCATGTTGTAGGCTAGAGCAAAGCTTAAGACATCTTCTCCTTCTTGATTTCTGATGCCATAGCCAAAGCCCCCATGCGCCCCTTCGAAACCTGTGTTAGATGTACCCACGTGGCCATTGAGGTCTCCTCCTATGAAGAGCTTCTCACCAATCGGTACACTCCTAACCATGTCTTCCAGGCCTTCCTAGAACTTCCTCTTGGTGTTCTCATTGTGGCCTACTTGCGGGGCATACGCGCTGATAACATTGAGAACCAAGTCCTCAACTACCAGCTTGACCAGGATAATCCGGTCCCCATGTCTCTTGACGTCTACCACTCCATACTTGAGGCTCTTGTTGATCAAGATGCCAATGCCATTTCTGTTTGCAGCCGTCCCCGTGTACCACATCTTGAAGCCGGTATCCTCCACCTCCTTCGCTTTCTGTCCTCTCCATTTGGTTTCTTGGATGCAAAGGATATCAACACCTTTCCTCACCGCTGCATCAACTAGCTCCCGAAGCTTCCCTGTCGAAGACCCTACGTTCCAGCTACCTAAACGAATCCTCCTAGGATCGGCTAGCTTCCTTACCCTTCGCACTCGTCGAGTCAAATGCGAAGACCCTTGCTCATTTTCCACTACATCCGGGCACTGATGTAGCGCGCCACTAAGGATGCGACGACCTGATCCTCGCTCACTTGCCATCGTATCCGGATCAAGATACGGCGCGCCACCTGGGGGTGACGGCCCGGCCCTTGCCCATTTTCCACCACACCCGGGTTCCGATGTGGCGCGTCGCTGAGAGGGTTACGCCCCAACGAAAATCTTTTGGGTTTCATCTCCATAAGAGTGGCTGAGTTTTTATGTTGGCTCGCCAAGCCTATCACAACCCTCCTCCTTTTCCCGGGCTTGGGACAGGCTATGTTAAGACAACATAGGCGGAGTTACCAAAATCCAAGCCCACTTAGTAAAATAAAACCCGTCCACCGGCGGCCGATTTGATTAAAGGAAGCAAAGGGAGTTGCAACGGAACTAGAGTTGGTGTAGATCGTTCGTCAAGTCCCTCAAACCCAAGACTCAAACCATGGCCTTCTTGGAAAACATATATAGTAGAAAAACAAATCGCACTACACTAGTATCGATCACCCAAGAATAAATATGAAGATGAGGATAACGATCATTACTAACTCCAAGTAGCAGCTAAATTAGACGAGTCGGTGTACATCTTTAATTGGAGTCCTTTGAACCGTAGATGAACGATCCGCCCACAAACGATCCCTCGAACGAAGGACTGAAACCACGACCTTTCTACTTGGTTGCAAGCGTACACCCGACGCCATCCGGAGCTAATCGTCGACGAAGAATTAGGGGAAGAAGATTAGAACCACACTGGGATTCTAATTATTAGGATTAAAGGATCTACGTCAAGCTTTAATTGATCAACTAGAAACAACTAGAACTAGAGAATTAGAGGAGGCTCCAAAATTTGTTTGTTCTAATAGTGCAAAAACTTCTAGTATATATAGGTTAGACGGGAGGAGGGGTCACCACAAGGGGGGAGGACTCCCTTCCCATTGCCTCGACCATTCCCCCTCCCCAATTCGGCCTCCCAAAGGGCGGAAGGGGGCACCTCCCCTACATGGGCCTTGGTGGCCCAGTTCTTCCTCATATTAAATATAAAAGCCTCCGAACAATTACTAAAGCATTTTATTATTAAATCAGTATCATCGGAAACATTTTCC